TCTAAGTCTACGACGCTTGGGGGAAAACAGAACCAGTGCTCGCAGACTTTCAGTGTATGTTAGTCTTCTGAGGAGGAGACTATCCGCGTAAATTGGTGTTGAGCCTTCTCCATTACCAGTTTATCCCGCACAAATACTGGTGCAGACGCTTGAGCACAGTACTCTAAGTGGGGTTGTTTGAACGATTTGTACAAGGGGACAAGTATCTCTGTGTCTCTATTGGATACCGTTCTACGCAGCATGTGCAGTACTGAATTTGCTCTGGGGGCTGCTATAGAGCACTGACACGAGGATGAGAATGTGGAATTCATGGTAACCCCATGATCCTTCACCTCGGTGATTAGTTCAATTGCTTCGCCTGCAGATTCCTTCAGGTACCGAGGATTGCCCACCAGTTCACCCGCATGCAGGAGCTTGCACTTGCAACTGTTCAAACGCAGTCTACATTCAGTAGTCCATGTAACCTGTTTAGGTCACTTTACTTCCCTTCGTTGTCAGGAGAGGCCCAAATTTTGGCACCATCGGCAAACAAGAACAGTGGGTTTGCTACACACTGTGCTAAGTCGTTGATGAAGACCAAGAACAGCAACGGTCCAAGGACGAAGCTTCGAGGCACTCCACTGTGTACTTGGCCTCCCTTAGAAAGTTTGCAGTCTACCCTGAATTGGAAGCTGCGGCCAACAAAATAACTCCGAAGCCAATTTTGGAGTTGGGTTGCACTCCTGTGACATTTTAATCAGGAGTAGTCCATGGCTCACTGAGTTCAAGGCCATCCTAAAATCTAGCTAGCACACCTCAAAACATTCACCTCTGTCAAGTCTCTACGTCACTTCATTCAGGTAGGCTAACGGGTTTGTAAGGCAGGACCTATCCCGTCTGAATCCATACTGAGCTTCCGTCAGTATGCTGTTCACTATAAAAAGACTTCTCATTTTTCACGAATCACCCTATCCAGAACCTTTAGTACTACTGACAGCAAGCTCACTGGCCTATAGTTTGAGGCGGCATCTCTGTCACTCCTCTTATAGACAGGGGTGACTATGGCCGCTTTCCAGTCACCTGGGAGAGTAGCTGTCTCGAGTGACTTGGTAAATGGGCTTGTTAATGGGCGTGCTAAGATACCTTTCAATGGTTTTAGGATTGCCGAGTGAATGTCATCGGGGCCTGCAGATGTGTTCCTGCCTAACGCTTTAATAGTTTTTTGACTTCCTGTGGCCCGATCAGGGCGCTAAGTCGTGATACTGTGTGCCGGCAGGATGTTGCCCGGGTCCACAGTGTACGATGCTTCGAAATGATGTTGTAGAGCGGAATCCTTTTCCAGGCTAGTGAGCGTTGGGTTGCCACCAGCGTCGCGGATGCATCGGATAGCTTCCTTAGTGGCCGCCTTTGATTGTACATAACCGTAATATGCTTTCGTGCAAGCCATACTCTTCTTTGTCAGTGTGAGCTCATAGCGTTTCTTGGATTCTGCCAAAACCCTGTCGTAGGTCTTGCGCTCCTGCAAGTACTGAAGGTATCTGAATGGCCGTTAGTGGCGGTGAACCTCTTCCAGGCTGCCCGCTTTCTACTCAGTAATTTAGCTAACGTTCGAGACCACGACTGTGGCCTATTGAGTCTACCATGCGGAAGCACTGATGTGAAGGCGTCGGCCAACAAGATGAGGTTCGTTTTAATTCGGTTCCAAGTCTCATGGACATCTATCACTTCCTCCGGCCATTGGAGCTGTGACGCGGCCAAGAGGAGACCTTTAGTGTCTAATGCTTTGTAGGATTGCTAGGGTTCTAGCCTTGGAGCGCGTAGACGACAGACATAACAGAAACGGATATTCGCGTGATCACTCCTACCTACCGATGATCCCAGTTCTGAGTTCCTGATTTCATTCACGCCCTCTGTAAATACCAGGTCCAGGATGTTGGGTGGGTTACTTGGTTTCCATCTGTTGGGTGCTTGATGTGCTGTATCAGGGCTGAGCTGAGCACTATTTCAAGCAACTTCTCTCCGAAGCTGCCCGTTGGTGCGTTTTCCATCGGCCAGTCAAGCCCTGGAGTGTTTAGGTCCCCTAAAAACAGAACCCTGTTGGCGTGTCTCGTTACTTGCCTGAGGTAGGCGATCAACTGATCTTCCTCCTCCTCTGTGGAGGACCGAGGACTGCAGTATGTGCAAACTACTGCTACTTCACTATGAGGTTTGTTTTGGCAAGCATCAAGCGGATTGGATGCTTGCTGTCCCCAGGTTTGTTAGTTGTTCCGCTACGAGTATTAGTGAACCAATGCAACCGTTAGTGCGATCACATCGAAAAGCCAAATACCTGGTGCTGGTAATTCTGTAGTGTTGAGGTCTGGTGTTAGCCACGTTTCAGTGACTGCTGTGCAAGTAACCGTCCCTGCTTCTGGTAGTATGTTGGGCCATTTGGTCATTAGGCTGCATGCGTTGGTGTGGAGAACATCCAATGTCTGCACCATGTGTTCCCTTAGCGGTAAAAGGCTGCTCCCGGGGCTTATGTCTGGGTGCCCGCCGAGATTTTTATCTCGGTGTTAGAGTCCTTCCTATGTGGACTGCATTTACAGCGGCAGAAGGCGTTGCATTCGGCGTGGCTGTTTCGATGTCGGAATGGTCTAATAAAGATGCCGATTCATTTGTTGAGGACCCGGGTATTCGAGCATTAGAGCTTGGTTACACATTTGGGGTGGAAGGTTGTATCCTTACGATCAGTCGCCTGGCGCTGCCTGATGAGGGCGGTGGCACTGAAGCTATACTCTTCCAGCTATTCGCGTAATCAGGAACTACGGTGATCTTGCCCCCTGTCAAGAGCTTCACGTG